ATTAGAGAAAGCTGCTCATTATGAGCAGGTACATTCTTCTGAACATAAAGGCGGCTGTTCCCGTTTGGCTTATCCGTTTCCAACACTAACAGTTTGCAGACATGAAAAAGCACATCGATGCTTTGCTCTTAAGCAAGAGGCTTACAGAAGCTTCTGTTGGTTTTGAGATAAATCGCTCCTTGTTCGTTCGTTTCTTTGAAGCCTCTTTGGGGGGGGGGAGACAGCAGCCCCACCTCGCATGGAAGGATGTCTGTGCCTTTATATAAAGGGTTGGAAACTGCCAGCCCAGAGGCCTAATCTGGCCCACCAAGCCTCTCCACTTGGCCCATGAGGCCATTTTAACCAAACTGTTCCTACCTGACACCCAATCCAGAGAGGACACCAGCTTCCTTCTCCTTAGTGGCAGTACAGTGGTACCTCGGGTTACAGACGCTTCAGGTTACAGATGCTTCAGGTTACAGACTCCGCTAACCCAGAAATAGTACCTCGGGTTAAGAACTTTGCTTCAGGATAAGAACAGAAATCGCGCAGCGGCGGCAGCAGGAGGCCCCATTAGCTAAGTGGTACCTCAGGTTAAGAACAGTTTCAGGTTAAGAACGGACCTCCAGAACAAATTAAGTTCTTAACCCGAGGTACCACTGTATTGCCTTTGTGGAACTCAGCAAGGAGGGGGATGAGTGCAAAACTGGAATTGGTTGGCTCTGAGCCTTGTCTGTCATGGGCTCTGGCTGGCTCCGCCTCCTCTTGGTCTCTCTGCCTTCTGCCCACCAGTCCTGAGAGGCACAACCAACCGCTGGGTTATGGAGGTGGGTGTTCAAGACTAAGTCAGTGGTTCCCGTGTAGCTAAGTACTATGAATTCCCTGTTTTTCAAAAGCCAAGCCATGGACCCCCTTCTTTTGAAAATTTAGATATCTCTATGCAGTGCTGTCTTTCTAGAAAATCGTGAACGCCTCCCTTGTTCTCTTATAATGGCAATGGCCAGAATGGAGTTCTGGTGAGTTCTGGTTGAAAAAAAGCCCTGTCTCTATGGTAGTCTTTATGTGAATGGTGCCATGGGCCCCTTGGGTGGGTTATGTAGATCCCCAGGGTCCATATGTTGGTTTCTGTGTGTTGCCACTGTGCAGTGCTCTTGGAGTCACAAGACTCTGTTTACATTGCAGAGACATTCCAGGCTGTTGGAAGTCTCAAGGAAGACAGGAGATGGATGTGATATTACTGGTTTCCTGTTCCTTTGTTTTTCAGTTGCTCTCTGCTTTCACAGAGAGAGCATGTATATTTCTTTTCTGCCTGCGTAGTTAGGAATAAAACTCTTTAGCAATATAGCTCATAAACTTCTCATCCTTCCCTGTGCTGGATACTCTGCGTAATGGGGGAACGTGCTTGGAGCCTTATCAGAGGCTCAGGTCGTTAATCACGTCGGAGGCGATTCCGGAGGACTCGACTGGAAGAGTCGCTCAGTCGAACGCAAGTCCGACACCATGGACCACCAATTGGGAACCACAGGACTAAGTTTTTGCTGGCTTGAGTCGACACATCTCCTTTCTAACCATTGACTTAAAGGTTTGCATACAAAGGTATTATTATTATTATTATTATTATTATTATTATTATTATTTGATTGAACTGCCTCTTGGATTTACATTTTCTCATGAGAACCAAGAATGAAACAGTTGGTTCATTTAACAATGTGGGAAGACCCCTGCAGGATCAGACCCATGGCCCATCTAGTCCAGTATCCTGTTCTCCCAATGGCCAACCAGTTGGCCAAGCACAAGAGCTCTCTCCCCTCGTGTGGCTTCCGACAACTATTCAGAAGCATTGCTGCATCTGTCTCTCTGTGGAGGGAGAGCATAGCCATTGTGGCTAGTAGCCATTTGCGCTGACTTGGTTACTGAACCTCCTTTGGCCTTAACTGGGGCAAGCTTCCTTGCAACTGAACCTGAACTGGAACCAAGCCGAAACAATGTTAACTGTTTACCTGCCTGCCAACCACCCCGTTCATCCTCTGCAAATCCTATTGATTGATTGATTGCAAAAACAAACTTCAAATGTTGACATATCGCATAGAATAATCAATACAAAATAAGAAGACATAAAAAGAATAAAAACGACTTCCCTCCACCCGTATGTGACTTTTCCTTTTAAATTTTACTTCTCTCGTTGTGTTCTTATGCTATCTTATACCACCGTTTCTGCTATGCCTGTCATTACTCTATATCTTCTCCTTGCGATAGCTTAGACTTCATATCAATATTTCAATACTCATCCTCTGCAAATCCTGTGGCTCCTCCTTTTCTTTCTCCTCTTCTTTTGCTTCCTCTCCCACTTTCAATTACAAGATCTTTGGGGCAGAGTCCTGTATATATTTAAAAATGCTTATAGAGTATACTGACTGTGACAATAAACAGCAGCAACACCTCCCTTCATGTTTGAAAATAGGGATTCCCCTCCACTGTCAGGACATCTGTAGTTCAACTCCAATCAACATTAGGGATTATGATACAAAAGGAATCAAGGTGACCCCTGGTCTCCTGCCAGGTGAGATTTGCTCTGGATTAATATAATCAGAATTTGTATTCAAAAAAGAAAAAGAATTAGATGTCATGAACAAGCCCAGGGATTCAGTGTTCCTTTCCCTGCATTAACCTGACAGTAAAAGGTCTGGGATGAAAATGCCACCGGAGAATGAGACCTTGACCGCCTCTGCGGTCTTTGTTACAACAACAGATGCAGGCAGTCATTAGCCGGTCTCCTAAGAAGATCTTGTTATCTAGAGCTGCACTCTTCCCTCCCAGTCCTTTGCCAGGGACCCGAGAGCTTCCCTGTATCACTGCCCCCCAAAGCAGCCCACAATCTGTCTCGCCAGTGCTTGGCAATGCTGCCCTCCAACAAGATGCCTGGCTGCCCTGACCATCATGACAGCATCATCACTAGCCCCCGCCTTAACTGCCCCACTCGGAAAGTCGGTTCCAGACTGGATCAGTGTCGCCAAAGCTCTTCAAATGCCCCGGAGGCAGTCTGGGCATTTATCTCTGCTAATGCATGCATATGTTCAATTGCAGGGCATTTTTAATAATGAGGGAGGTGAGGATCACTTTCTCCATCACTTGTGCTCATGCTTGAGCTCGTTTACCAGTTGATAACCACATTCCCATCTGGAATGAGATTTATTAAGAAGATTTTCAAGCATTACAAATGGTTAAGTGTAAACGATTTCAAGAGGCAGCACACAGGAATCCGGGAAGCTGCCTTGTACTGAATCAGACCATCTAACTCAGTGCTGTCTACACTGACTGGCAGAGGCTCTGGGGGTGGGGTGGGGGGTTTGCAGATATAAGGCATTCCCAGTCCTACCTGGAGATGCCAGGGATTGAATCTGGAATCTCCAGCATGCAAGGTACTGTAGATACTCTATCACTGAGCCAATGTCCATTTGCAAATATCAGAAACTAAATTGGGATGGAGATATGCATTTTAAAAAAATAAAACAATGAAGAAATAGTTTAAAGCGGTTCTCAACCTGTGGGTCCCTAGGTGTTGTTGGACTACAACTCCCATCATCCCTGAGCTCTGGCCTTGCTAGCTAGAGGTGATGGGAGTTGTAGTTCAACAACATCTGGGGACCCACAGGTTGAGAAAGGCTGGAAGGAAAAAGGAAACGCAAGAGGAACTAAGGCAGACTAGCAAGGGTGCAGCCAACCCTCTGTATGTTTTGGACTACAACTCCCATCAGCCTCTGCCAACGGTGATGTTGGGATCCAATACATACAGTGGGCAGCAGGTATGTGAATGTTGGCATAATGAGTCACCCACCTGAAATAAAGACTTGCATGTGATTACTTTGGACACAGATAATGAGAGGCAATCAAATGATCCAGGAGTCATCCATAGGAGTCGGATCTCATTGGGCTTTTGTTTGGTGAGATATTTTTACTGAATATGAGGAGGTTTTCTCAAACCATTATTTTAATAGATGGTACCTTCTCACTGCAGTAAGGAGGGAAATGATGTAAGCGGTGCTTTTGTAGGTTTTTTTAATGCTTCTAATGGCGTAACAAATGGGAAGTGTGGGAGACAAGCTTGTGTACTCGGAGCGTACAGGAATTTGGGCTTTCAAACGTTAGCACCTATTGCTTCAGAGCGCCTCATTCTAGCTGTTGATGTTTGCTTGTCATTATGGTTAATTGCTGCAATATACACACTTTGGGAGCCCAGCAGATGTAATACTGGTCTTTAACATAAGATTAAAAACTACAGTGCAAATTATAAATTGTAAGAAATCGTGACTACAGTCAATGTATCCTTTCTCTTTCTTGTCTATTCAGGGCTGATAAAAGAACATACTTTTTCACACGGCACATAGTTAAACTCACTCCCACAAGAAGCAGTGATGGTGACCAGCGGGCTCTTCTTATGTTCTTATGAGGAATGAAACAAAGCCTCTGTTTCCAAATTGTCCCTCTCTAAAGATTTTGCAAGCACCACACCTCCTTCCTTCTCAACAAGAACAGAAATGCTGTAAGAATGTTATTCTTTATAGATAGTCAATGCCTGCATTCCCAGAGGTCACTATATTCTCTTGAATAAGCTATATCAGCCTGGTGCCTTCCAGACTTTTTGGGCTACAACCTCCATCAGCCCTAGGAAAAATTGATCTGAACCTTAAATTTGAAGCTGGGACAACCAACCCTTTTCCACCTCCAATATACACAGATGGTCAGATTCTTGAAGGAAGCTATCAGTTATCTGTAAGAAGTTCATAGGTATGGAAGATTTGCCCTCAGAAGTTATATGTGGGGAGGGGGTGGCTGAGGAACCAAAGCGCTTTATGAAAGACCCTCTAGAGAAGCATATTGACAGTTTTCCATCCCCTTTCCAGAAAGGAAATGAGCAATGAACCCAAATGCAACCAACAGGAACTTAAGGAGCTGCCGTATAATGAGTTAGACTGGTGGCTCTCTAGGGTTTTAGATGGGGAATCTTTCTCAGCCCTACCTGGAGATACCATTGGGGATTGAACCTGGGACCTTCTGCATGCAAAACAGATGCTCAACCTACTGAGCTATGGTCCTTCACTATATTGAATCAGACAATTTGTCCGTCCAGCTCAATACTATATGAACTGACTGAGAGTGGTTCTCCAGGGTTTCAGAATGGGAGTCCTACCTGGAGATCCTGGGCATGGAACCTGGGAACTTCTGCATGCAATGCAGATGCTCTTCCACCAAGTGATCAAGTTGCATCACAGGCTCAATAGCTAGCTGTTCCTAATGCCAGTGATAGTGGAGAATTATGTGCGCTGTTCCATATCAACATCTCTTCCCAGAATGTGAAAGCAATGGAAGCACCATCACTGAGAGATGCCTGGACAAATATTTGCACTCAAAATGGCATTTATGTGCTGGGGTGGAGAAGACCTCTGCATGGGGATTTTGTTTGACCCTACAGTGCCACCAGCCCCTATAAGCCCCACTTGGCAAGAGTGCCAATTCTTGCGCTTATCCATGCAATAATCTGGGAGAAGCCACATAGATTGCTGTACTTGCCCTAAGCCTCTTGGAAGAGCTGCAGCTCAGTCCTCTGGGTAATCCTCCTGAATTCTAACAGAAATGTTGTGAAGCAGCAGTGCAGGAAACTCCAGCACCAACAAACTCCCCAGTGTGCAGCTCGGGGAGTTTTATTTGAAAAATGCTGCTGCCTTTCCACCCCAAAGTCCATTCATTTATTTATTTAGCAAAATGTATGAGCCGCTTTATTTATTTATTCCCCAAGATTGCTATAACGCTTGATGGTAATAAAATAAAAGCCAGTGGCAATGTAGTGGTTAGAGTGTCAGAGTAGGACCTGGAGGGGACAAGGGTTCAAATTCCCACTTGGCCATGAAGCTCAGTAGGTGACCTTGGGCCAGAGGCTGTCTCTCAGCCTACCCTACCTCACAAGGTTGTTGTGGAGATTAAATGAGGAGCATGCATGCTACCCTGAGATCCCTGGAGAGAAAAAACAAGGGATATAAATGCAATAAAGTAAATAATAAAAGCTCAAAGGAGTTTACAAAAAGAACAAAGCTATAACGCTTTCAGTTTTTTCATTAAAAGGAAACATTTAAAAACAAATATTGAAATCATTTAAAAATATCATTTAAAAACATATAATTGTAAATAAACCTCTGAACAGTTTAATAATATTTATGCGTACTACATACAATTTACTTCCTCATCACCTTCACCTTTGGACTTTACACCTTTTAAAGGTCAGAGCACCACAGATCAATAAGCCCAACTTTATTTTTCAAACATCCAGTTGCTCATACATCATGGCTTTTTACAAAAGGGACTAAAAGGTCAGACTCCTCTGCCATTCTTCCGCACTCCTGAATTTTTGTGTTTAGGTGGATGCAATTCTAATATCTTTTTTTTTTTTTTGTCATTCCCAAACCAGGGAATGCTGTGTTCTAGATGCATCAATTTCAGTCTCTTGCTCACCCTATCCTGAATGTTGAGTAGTGGAGGAAAGTAACTGTACATTTAAAAAAAGTTGTGGTTTTTTTAATGCCATTAAATCTGTTTCAGATTGACTGGAGAATAGGCACATCATCAAGGCTCAACCCCCAAACCTACCTTGCCTCTAAAACCCAACCATCACCACCTTCAGAATCAATATATTTGATTTGCTCCTGCAGGTGCTAATCTTTAGCTCCCCTGCTCCCACCAAAGCCCAGCTGGTCTAGAAAAAGTTTTCATGCCCACCTCCTCCATTCACAGAGATGTTCGGTGCACAAAACCAGGGAAGAGTCATTGTTTATTCCTGATGTACATTTTTCAGGATCTAACCCACCCCATCCCGAATTCTGCAGGGTGAGACAAAAGGATGCAGGTGCTGGATATTATTATGACAGTATATTAAATATGGTGCTTTTTTTTTTTTAAGTCATTAAAACTCGAACATTCAGAGAGATTGGACATATTCATCAAAGCTCAAACCCAAAACCTTCCTTGCTCCTTAATAAGCCAACCACCACCGTCCAGGTATCTGATGCGCACCTGCAGGCTCTTAATTTCTACCGGTCCAGGAAAAGTTTCCACATTCACATCCTCATTTACACAAAGACTCTCACAAACCCCTGATCTACCCCAATTAGGGAAGATCTCTTATCCATTGATCAAACAGAAGGCGAGAGGGTCCCTGACTCCCTGCACCCACAGGGCTGGAGCAAAGGGTCCTCGTCCTCGATAATTTTTATTTACCATTTAATATGCAAAATCCCCAAGTAGCTTACATAAAAGATAGTAAGATAACGGGGGGGGGGGGGAATGCATATACTACATTGAAAACCCAAACCACAGAGAAATACATCAGTCAAGACAGAGAAGTCATCAATAAAACATTTATTTATTTGTTTATTTATATCCCGCCTTTCCCCCAAGACCAGGGCTCAAGGCGGCTTACACAATGCAGATAAAACAAAGAAGGCGGAAAAGCATATGCAAATTAATAGTTAAAAAGTATAACGGAATTAAAGCAAGATTAAAAACAACAACAGATCTACTAAAACGCAGAGAGAAAAAGCAGTAAAATCACTATTTTCAAAGCTCTTTCCTTACAAAACGGTCAGTCTCCCCCGTGCCCCAGCATGTTGGAATAAAACAGAACAAACCGCGGAAGGAGAGGAAGGAGGCAGCCGGTCTAGCTTCAAAAACAGAGCAATGCGAACAAGTTTCCTACCTGGCCAGGGGCTTGCGGGAGGTGATGCTGGCCACGATGACGCTGCCGGGTCTTGGCGTGGCCACGGCTTTGAAGGTCCCTCTCCAGAACTTCTCGAAGAGCTGCTTTTCGCCTTGCTGGACGCTCGCCATGGCCCGACCGTGAAAGCGCCGCCGCGCTCGGAACTGTCCAGGGTTCTGAAATGTTACATTTCCCCCTCTCCAAGCCCGGGGGCTCTCTCACCTGGCCGGCGCCTGCCTAAGACGGCTTGCCCTGGCGGGGTAATAGCCTGGATCGATAATATTTCGGGGGGGAAATCACCAAGCCCTGTGTTTCCTGCGTAAGGGAAGTGCCTCCGTCTGCCTCCCGACCCGGCTGTGCGTGCGCGCTAAGCCCAGGCAGGCGGGCGTTTTGTCTTTGCTCCGATGTGACGCGCAGCTCGGGGGGCTGGTCAATTTTCAAGAGCTGCTGCTGCGCTCTCTCCTCCTCCGTCTGCCTGGAAAACATCAGACAAAAGACGGAGGGGCTCCTCCAGCCCGAATCAGCATCACAAAGGGCGGCTGGTCCCCGGGTCCTCCGGGCGTGTGCCTGTCAATGGCCTGGGAGGGGAGATCGGGGGTGGGGAGGACGGGGCGAGGCGCTGACTCAGACGCGATTTAATTGAGAAGGGGAGGAAATGAGCAGAAACTCACGCTCGCCCCTCCAGCTGCTTGTATGCATCTCTTCCCCGCCCCCAGCAGAATCGGGGAGGGAGGGAAGGAACAAGCCTAATTAAATAACCTCAACCGCCCCCCCTATTTTGGAGAGAGGCGGGGTAAGGACAGGCCCTCAAGTCCTCAGCGCAATGGCACTTCCTAAGGACTCAGAGTCTGTCGCAGGCAAACACAAAGGCTTGAGCTTGCACTTTGTTCGTTTCACGAAATTTATTATGTCCCGCTCGACTGCGAAATAAAATAAAGCCTGAAAGCGGTTAACAAAAATAAAATAAAACAGTGAAATTATCAGTAAAAACAACTGTTTAAAACGTCAACTAAAAAAAATGTATTCGAATGTATTCGAATAAGCTGTGATAAATTATATACTGTACATCTGATTATCCCAAAAACGATGCTAATCAAGCCTTTTAACGAAAAATTAAATTGCCATATCTAACCTCCCCCCTCAAAAAATAATAATATGTAAGTTAAAAACGAATTGCAACTAAAAACAGGTTGCATTCAATTTTAGTTCTAGACACGTGGAAATGGATGGGCAACTTAGGTCCCTTAATTTCAATGGGTCTACTTTGAGTAGAACTTTGCTGCATACAACCAATAGAATATTGTAATACCCTAAAGCCTAACAGTCCCTATTCCTTTTTGTGGGCTAGGAAAGGGAGGGAGATTTCTGGCTTAGAATTATAGATTTATAAAACTGTAGAGTTGACCCATCCCGTCATCTAGTCCAACCCCCTGCAATGCCTGCAGGATTGACTTTGTTTGGGGCTATATATTATTTACTTGTGACATTTGTATCACAAGTGGGTGGGGTGGGTGTTTAGTTGGGTGTGGGAATTTGTTTAATTTAATTATGTTGTGTTTGTAACTTTGTTTTTTGTTTTTATAGTTTTATTGTTCTGTTAGTTTGTTTTTTGTATAGGCTTTAATTTGATTTTAGGGGAGGGGTCAGGGCTGCCTGGGAGTGGGTCCCAGCAAACAAAATGGCTGGGGCAGGTTCCACAGGGGGGGATGCACTCGGTCAACCGATCTCAGTGATCACGGGTAGGAGGAGGAGTTACGCTAAGACCAGACCATGTCATTACCGAGGAAGCAGGCTTAGTCGTTGTTTGAGGACTATCCCTGCCCCCAGGTCTGGTCCTGACCGGAAGGATACTGGAATCAACAAGGGAAACCCACATGACCTGAAAGTGTTGCTGTGCAATGCCAGGTCAATGATGAATAAAACCTCTGCCATCCACGACCTGATTGTGGATGGAGGATTTGACCTGGCATGTGTGACAGAGACCTGGTTGGATGAAGCAGATGGGCCCGTCCTTGCTGCTGCTTGTCCACCAGGTTTCTCTTACGCACAGCAACCCAGGCCTTGTGGGCGGGGAGGGGGGGTTGCAGTGATTTTTAGGAAGTCATTAGTTTGCACCAGGCGTCCTATTGGAAAGACCCAGTTCTCTGAGTGCATGTTCTGGAAGTTGGGCAATAGGGGCAGTACAGGATTCCTATTGGTGTACCGACCTCCCCACTGCACCAAGGATTCCCTGCCCGAGCTGCTTCAGGTCGTGGCGGATGTCCTCCTGGAGACACCTAGTTTGGTTGTCCTAGGGGATTTTAACATCCATGCCGACACAACCTTACAAGGGGCCGCTCGGGACTTCGT